TGGGAGCCGCCTGACGGGGGAGCTTCCTGGCCTCCCCACCGAGCTCGTTGGGGCCGGGCCCTCGGAGGTGTCCTGACGGGACCCACAGTGCCTCTGGGCAAGGGCAGGACGGGACTGGGGCACCAGATAAGGCTGCTCGGGGGGGCACGGGCACGCAGCAGCTGGCCTGTTGGCCACATGGTGTGGCTGCCAGGTGCCGCTGGCCGGGCAGCGTTCCGCCCGAGGCCTCGGCAAGACGTGTGCTGGCTGAGGTTGCGCCCATTTTGAGCTTGGCTTCCAGGTCGGGGCCAGCGTAGGGTAGGGTCCTAAGCTCCTTGACCAGGGGAGGGGGGACTCGTGGGCGGGAGTGAGACCTGCTCCCTGACTGCAGAGGCTCCGGGTGTGCTGCCCCAACCCTGCCTGCGCTCAGCAGTCTGCCTCCAGCAGGTCAGCTGACTTGGTGGGGAAGGGGGGGCGCACTTGGCCTGGCTGAGTGCTGAGCCAGCATTGTGCTGTGGAGCCAGAGGCCGGACTCCACTCCTAGCCATGCCGTACGCCTACCCTGAAGTGCAATCTAGGGGGGCAAGGGGACCAGCCTGGACGCCCCTCCTGGTCCTCACAGGCCCCAGCTGCAGGCAGCAGGCTTGTCTCAGAGCCACTCCTGCTGTCTGCACGCAGGGCCAGTGGTGTGGGTGGGAGGGCCAGGCTGGCCTGAGCCCGGCTCCTCCCAGCCCTCTGCGCCGGGAGGCTCTGCTTGACAGCAGGTTCCAAGGCTGCTGGGCCTGAGGGCGGGACCCGTCCCCAGAAGTAAGAGGGAGAGGCAGGGAGGCAGCTTCCTCACTCCCGCCTGTCCCCCAGCTTCCTGGAGATGATGGAGGCGCGAAGCCGCGGCCACACGTCCCCGCTGGCGGCCAGCGGGCAGAGCCCGTCCTCAGGCTCCCAGTCACCTGTGGTACCTGTGAGCGCCGTGTCCACGGGGAGCTCCAGCCCCAGCACGCCCCAGCCGGCCCCACCGCTGCCCCTCCCCACCCCCTCAGCCTGCCCCTCCCCGCCGTCCCCCTCAGAGGCCCCACCGCCCCCAGCACCCCCCGTGGCCCCCGCTCCAGCCCCGAGACGCAGCATCATCTCCCGGCTGTTTGGGACCTCGCCAGCTGCCGAGGTGGCCCCTCCCCCCCCAGGTAGGCCCCAGGGGGCCCCTCAGCAGGTGTGGGCAGCCCCAGTGTTGATGGCACCATCACCCTGGCCCTGTGAGCTCCCGAGACTGGGACCGGATCCGCTTCCTCCTGGGTGGGCAGTATGGCGCCCGGTCACAGGCCAACCCTGCTTGCGTCCTGGCCCGCGGGCACAGATCCGGTCCCTGCTGCAGAGGCCCCCGCGCAAGTCCAGGCCGTCGAGGAGTTTGTTCCTGGGGACGGCCTAGACCACAGCTTCCTGGACGACGTGGCCCCCCCGAAGGCGGAGCGGACAGTGGAGGCTGAGGCCCCTCCGGACAGCGACAGGTAAGGGTGGTGCCAGGCCTGCGAGCCACAGCCCTGGCCCTAGATGGCACCTGTTCAGGCAGCAGCCGGCCTTGCCCTCGGCCCCACCCACATGGCCTCCCTCCTGAGCCCGCCCCGAGCACCCAGTCTCACCAAGTCCCTGAGAAATGCACCAGGACACGGCCTGCGGCCCCCGCCCACACCCCTCCTGTGGCTTCTGCTTCCGGGGCAGCCCCTGCCCTTCCCCTGGGACCTGCCTCCCGCCCTCGGCCTCTGCTGCTGCCACACCGGGCCCCGCAGAGCAGCCGAGCCTGCCCAGAGCTGTTCCCCTTCCCCATGGAGCCCGCCTCAATGACCAGCCTGCAGCTGCCAGAGGTTCCAGGACCCAGGACCCTCTCACGACCGCTGACCTCTGCCCTCCTTCGCAGCGATGGGGAGGCCCCCGGAGGGAACCCAATGGTGGCAGGTTTCCAGGACGACGTGGACCTGGAAGACCAGCCGCACAGCAGGGCCCTGCTGCCCACGGGCCCCGTCTCCAGGGAGAACATCCCTCTTCCCAACGAGGAGGCAGCAGGACCCCCCAAGGCCGCTGCCTTGATCCCCCAGAAGTGCTCCGAGCCAGAGACCAAACAGTATGTGGCGATCCCCAGGGAAGCAGCCCGGGAGGGAGGACAGACATGCCCCTGACCGCTTCCTTCTCCCGAAGGCCCTCCACGAAGGCCCCGAGGCCGCTCCGGCGTACGGAGGGCCCCTCCCGGGGGCCCGGCGGGACGGACGAGCCAGCAGCCTCGTCCGAGAGTGACGCCGAGGGGCCCATCGCCGCGCAGATGTTGTCCTTCGTCATGGACGACCCCGACTTCGAGAGCGACTCCGACCCGCCTCGGAGGGTGGTGAGGACTGGGACCGGGCGCGACGGCAGGGAGGGCGGAGCTCCGGGTGCTGGGCAGCCTCACCGCGATGCCAGGGCCCAGGCCTGGCTGCCCGGCACGGCCGGGGGAGGGGCTTCCGCGTCCTGGCCAGCTCCCTCAGGCGTCGCTGTCCCCTTCCCCTGGGTCAGGTGGGCCCTCGAGCCTGTCACCTGCCCAGGACAAGGGAGAGGCTAACTGCACGGGCCCACCTGCTGCTCCTCCAGGACGAGTTCCCCGTGCGGGAGGATCTCTCCGACGGGACGGACGAGGACACGGGCCCTGCCCCGGCGCCCCCGCCCCCCACGCCCCTGGCCCCCGCCTTCCGAGTGAAGGACGACTTGGACCTCTTTGGCCTGGGGCTGGAGGAGCCCGGCCACAAGGCGAGCAGCAGTGAAGGTAGCTGGGCCTCACCCGGGAGCCCAGCCGGGGCCTGTCTGATCCCGCCTGCCTGTCCCTCTTCTCCTGGGGGAGCCTCCGAGCAGCAGGGCTGTGGGTTCAGCCCTGGGGTGCCGCCTGGTTCTGATGGCATCCCAGACCTGGGCCGGGCGCAGGCCTGAGGGCTCTGTCCACTCAGGAGGCCGCTGGTGCTGCTGGGAGCTGCCACCGCCCTCCGAGCGAGCGAGCCAGCGCGCAGCCCCGACAGCAGCATGGCCTCCGGGCCTGTCCCGCCCTCCATCCTGCGCTGCGTGCGCAGGGCTCGGCCCAGCGCAGTGTCACCCGGGACGTGTCCCAGAAAGGAGAGTTAGGCACCTTCCGGCCTTGTCCTGTTTGGAGTGTGCTGGAGTGTGCGGGTCCCGAGGGACCAGTCCCGCAGGCGGGCGGGGGGCGCGGGCGGCCGACGGGGAGCTGATGCGCCTTCCTCCGCAGGTAAGGAGGGCAGGCCTCCCTCCAAGGAGAAGAAGAAGAAGAAGAAGAAAGACAAGGAGGTACACCCCCCCGGGTGCGTGCGGGTGGGGGCTCCGCCTGGCCCCGCGGTGACGCCATGTTGCTCCCCCAGGAGGAGGAAAAGGCGGCCAAGAGGAGGAGCAAGCACAAGAAGGCCAAGGACCGCGAGGAGGGCCGCGAGGACCGCAGGCCGCGCAGGGGCAAGAGGGCGGCCGACGAGCTGGAGGCCTTCCTGGGGGGCGGGGCCCCCGGCGGCCACCTCCGCGGGGGAGGGGACTACGAGGAGCTCTAGACCTGGCACGGTGCCCGCACACTCCAGGCGCCGGGCACCGGCCCGCCCCGCGGAGGGTGGGCAGCAGGCATCGGCCCTGTTGCTTCTCAGGGAGGGACGAAGGCCCAGGAGGCCGGCAAGGCTGTTTACAAGGCAGAGCGCCCTGGTCACACCTGCTCCTCACCGGCCCCCGCATGCGGGCAGTGCGGCTCCCTGGCTCGGCTCCCTGGGCTGCGCACCGTGTCCCGGCCTCTGGGCACCGCTGCCTCTGACGCCGGGCCGTGCCAGCACGTCCCTGGGGTCCTCCCAGGCTGGTGTCCAGCGTCACACCTGCCGGCGGCACCAGTGGAGCCAGAACGTCCTCACTCATTTCCTTTTCTCCTTCCACACTCGGCCCCAACCATAAAGCTCTCCTGTTTTACTGCTGTCTCTGTGCTGCTTCCTGCTGCTCTGCTCCACTCCTGGGCGGCCCTTGTGATGGCCTGCAGGCCCCTCTGCCCGGGTCACCGCAGGGCCCTGAGGCCTGGGCTCCCTCCTCTGGGCCAAGGAGCCCTTATTCCCAGAAGGGGGGCCGTTCCAGGGTAGGTGGCCTCCAATCCAGCCACAGAACCACGTGCTGTCCAGGGTGAGCCAGCGTGGCTGGTGTCTGCACGTCTGTACCGTCCTCCTGGGCCCGGCACTTGCATCCAGGAACACACCGGATGCCGAGCTCTGAGGGCAGGCTGTGTCCCTGCTCCTCTGGCCTCCACCCACCCCAACAGCTACCATGGGAACAGCTTTGATACGGGCACTGCCCCTCCCTCCAGGGCATCCTCCCAGTCCAGTAACCCTTCCTCCCCCAATTCCTGTTCCTCGACTTTTCTTTTTTTCACGTCAGACGGGTCATGTGCCAAAGGTGTAACAAGGTTAATGGGCGGCACATCTCACACAGCCGCGTGAACACCCAATCATCACGCTTATGAACTCAGAAAGGATCTGTTCCTCAACTTTTGAACCTGGAATTGGGGGGGGGGACAGTGGGATAGCAGTCACTGAGCAAGCACCAAGCTGATACACATAGGGACTTGCACAGCTTGAGAGATCATCTTTTAAATGTATTTTTATTGATTTCAGAGAGGGAGAGAAAATCAAGAGTCATTGATAGGCTGTCTCCTGTACACCCCACCCTGGGGGTCGAGCCCACAACCTGGACATGTGCCTGATCAGAAATCGACCCGTGACCTTCTGGTTCACAGGTCAACACCCAACCACTGAACCACGCAAGCCAGGCAGGTCACCCGTTCTTGTGACGCCCACAAATGTGGGGTTGTGGCTAATATATTGCCCAGGGCCCCACTCCTCCCCAGCTAGAATGTTCCCTGGCTCAGCATCTTGGAGGGGGGAGGGGGGAGGTAGGGTGCTGGAGCGGGCCTACCTGCTGGACGTGGTGTGGGGGCGGTGGGGCAGCAGGGGCCGCCTGGCCTGGGAGAGGCTGGCATCCTAGGGAAGCTCCAGGCCCCGTCCAGCTGGGGGCCATATGGCCCAGGCGCCTGCGGAGTTTGGCGCCTCCACACTGCAGCAGAGCCAGCAGGGCGAGGGCAGCCCATCTGCTCCTCCTGGGCCGACCCAGTGTGAATTCCAGGAGTGATGCAGGGGGTGTCCGGCCCCTGGCCAGAGCTCTGCCTCCATGCCCTGCCGGGCGGGAGCTGGTTAGAACCCAGGCCTGCACCTTGTGGGTACTGGAGGGCACAGGCGTGCTCAGCTGGCGGCCACGTGGGTCCCAGGCCAAGGCGCGGCCCCTTTAAGTGCAACACCACCGGCCACCAGCGGGGGCAGCACCGAGCCGCCGGCCTCTGCTCGCTGCCTGGAAGCTTCTGCCGAGGCCGCGGTGCGGGTGCCGGTGCCGGTGGGGGGCGCGGAGTGGAGGGCGGCGGGCGGCGGGCGGGCCCGGGCCTGCACGACCTGCGGGTTCGGGGAACAAGCAGCGCGCAGGTAAGAGGTCGGGGCTGCTGCCCGGAGCCGTGTCTGGGGAGGTGGGGAGGATGAGGGTCCTCGCTGGCCATCGGCTCGGTGGCGCGGGTGGGGGCTGGGGGCCGGGACGGGCCCTGGGGGCTGCTCCCAAGTCGTCAGGCCTGGGACCCCCGGGGGTCAGCCGCCCATCCCAGGCGGGGGCAGTCCTCCCGGCAGCGCAGGCCAGGCTGTCACCTCCCTGGGCGGAGCCTCCCCTGTCACAGGCCCCCAATCGCGGCCTGACTTTGAGCTCAGGAGGTCGGGAGGGGACACGGGGGTGAGGGGGTCCTACAGCCGACGGAGCTGGGTGGGCGCGAGGCTGGGGACCGGCACGCCGCAGAGGAGCAGCCCCGGGGCGGGCAGGAGGCCCCGCACCCCGGGGCGGAGGGTCTGACAGGTGAGGCCGCCTCCGTCCTCATTCGCCGGAGCCCACGCCTGGGGCCGGGTGAGAGCCGGGCCCCTCCCAGCCTGCCCGGCCGGGCGCACAGCCCGCGGCGGCCCACGGAGCCTGGTGCCGGCGCGGAGGGTGGACCCCGGCCGGCCGCACTGCGGGGGTGGAACCCCGGTTTCCATGGAGCCTTCCTGCGCGGCGGCGGGAGAGTCCCGCCGGAGCTGAGGAGGGGGTGGAGCTTCACCCACCACCACGCTGCCTCCCCGGGAAGAGGGGCGCACACCCCCATGGGGTCTCCGGCCCCAGCCTGGGCTTCAGGCCCTGGGCACACGCTGCAGAGCTGGGTCACTCGCCGCCTGTCCTGAAGCCTCCGTGCGCCGGGGGTGCCACCCACCCTGGGGCTGGAGCCCGCAGTTTCCGCAAAGGAGAGCGAGGGGGGGGGGGAGAAGGCGCGGGGGCGGGGGGGCAGGTGCGCTCTTGGGGGACATGACTCGGGCCGGGCCCGGCCAAGTGTCCAGGGTGGGACAGGCCAGGCTTCAGCCTAAGGACCATCCCGGACCTGGCGGGGCCACCGGAGCCTCGGGACTGGGGCCTGGACCGTCCGGCTGTCCAGTGAGGCAGCCCCTGCTGCTGGGGGTGAGAGGGCACGCTCCATGCCACCTCTGGGCGGGCGGGCGAGCAGGAGGCTGTGGCTGTGCCGGGCGAGCTGGCTGGGCCAGGGGCGGCACTCCTGTCACCGGCGGGCGATGGCGCCAGCGGCGATGGCCCCAATGAGCTGTCATTCCACCCTGGGCACCAGGGAACACCCTCTCTTCCCACAGCCGGGGCCGGAAAGGGGTCTTACCGAGCCTGCAGCTGACCACCGCACCCATTGCCTTTCTAGCCGGCCACCCGGTCCTTCATCAGGAAGAGGCCAACAAGATGGGCTAGAGCCTGACAGCCGGGTTCCTGCAGGGCTGAGGCTGGCATGGAGCGCGTGCCCGCGGCCTGGGCCCAGGCCCCGCACCAGGGCCGCTCCGCCCCCCGCGCCCCAGGTAAGCCAGGCCCGGCCCGGCCGGAGGCGGCGGACACCGGGCTGCGGAGGGGCCTCTCTGACCGCGTCTCCTCCCGCCCCCAGGGCCAAAGCCCCGCGAGGCCGAGTGAGCGGCGGCCGCCGGCCTGGCGACCTCTGCTAAGATGACCCGCACGGACCCGCCGGACCTGCTGGTGTCGACCGTGTACCAGGACATCAAGGTGGCGGCCCCTGGGCCCTCGCCGCGGCGCCCGCCATGTGAGCGCCCCGCGGCCCAGCCCGCGGCGCCCGCGCCTTTCAACAAGCGCCACTGCCGCAGCTTCGACTTCCTGGAGGCGCTGGACGGGGCGGCCATGGAGGGCGCCCCCGCGCCGCCGCCCGAGCCCCGGGCCCCGCGCGCCCGGCCCCGCGACAGCGAGCCCCGGCGCCGCGCCCGCTCCAAGAGCGCGCCCCGCGAGCCCCCGGGCCTGGCGCCCGCGCCCGCGCCCGCCTCGCCGCCGGTGCAGCCGCGCCGAGGCCGGGAGGCCCACCGGGTGGCGCGGGCCGAGGGGTCGCCGCGCCGGGAGTCCCCGTACCCCGCGGGGCGCGCGCTCGCCAACGAGCTGCACCCCATCAAGCTGCAGCCGCAGCGGGGCGGCCCCGGCCGCATGGCGCCCCTGTGCGCCGCCGCCGACCGCTACCCGCCGCCCGAGCCCCTGGCCGCGCCGGCCCCGCACGTGCGCTGCCGCCTGGACATCAAGCCGGACGAGGCGGTGCTGCGGCACGCCGCCCGGGGGTCGCGGCCCTGCGGGCCCGCCCCGCCCGCCCCCTGGGCCCGCGCGGCGCCGGCCCTGCATGGCCTCACGGTGCCCGGGCCTCGCCGCCTGGCGCTGTCCCGCACGCCCACGCCCAGCGACTCCTTCTGCCCGGACCCCCGGGGCGCGCCGCTCTGCGACGGCTTCCTCCCGGGGCCGCGGGACCTCGGGGAGCGGCGCGCCTTCGCCGCCCCGCCCGGCCCCTCCCAGTTCTTCTACACGGAGGAGCCCGAGGGCCGCCCCGGCGGCTTCCCCGCCAGCCCGGGGCCGCCCTGCGACGGCTACTTCCCCCGGCCCTTCCGGCCCGAGGAGCCCGCGGTGCCCAGCCCGCGCCGCGGGGGCAGCTACCTGGCCTGGGAGGCGCGCACCTTCCCTTTCCACGAGCCGCCCGCGGGCGCCTACTACGGAGAGGCGCCCCCGGCCTTCGTCCCGCCCTGGGGCCCCTGCTTCCCGCCCGCGGAGGCCCAGCCGGCCGCCCGGCCCTTCTACACGGAGGACTGGGGCCGCTACCGGGACCGCGACGGTCTGGCGCGGACGTACCCGCACCCGCGCGGCGGCCCGGCCTGGGCCGACTGGGGGGACTGGGGCGACTGGGGCCCGCGGCCGTACCGGACCCTGCAGGCGGCGCCGCCCCCCGCGCCCGGCCCGCTGCTCGCCTCCTGGCACGGGGGCACCGGCGCCAGCCCGCCGCGCCTGGCCTCCGGCAGCCGCCACCACTCGCGCTCCTGGGACAACATCCTGGCGCCCGCGCCGCGCCGCGAGGACCCGCCGGGCCGCGGCCGCAGCTACGAGAACCTGCTGGGGCGGGAGCCGTGGGGCGCCTCCCCGGGGGGCCGGCGCGCGCCCGTCGTGGTCAACCTGTCCACGTCGCCCCGGCGCTACGCCGCGCTGTCGCTGTCCGAGACGTCGCTGCAGGAGAAGGGCCGCGGGGCGGACGGCGCCGGGCGCAGCTGGTACGTCACCCCCGAGATCACCATCACCGACAACGACCTTCGCGCCGCCGAGCGCCCGGCCGCCGGGGGCTGGGAGCCGCCCGCGGGCCGCCGCCGGCCTCCCCCGCCCGCCGGCCCCGTCGGCGGGCGCCAGCGCAGCCTGGAGCAGCTGGATGAGCTCATCACCGACCTGGTGATCGACTCCCGGCCCCTGGCCGGCCCCGCCGCCCACCCCGCGGCCGACGGCCTGGGCCGCCGGCTCCGCCACCTGCTGGACCTGCGGCCCGCTGGCTCCGGGGTCCCCGCGCAGGCGCCGCGCTCGCCCCCCGCGTCCCCCGGCAGCGCCGAGGAGCCCGCGGGCGCGGGGCCGGCGGCGGACGAGTCGCCCGAGCCCAGCGCGGACGAGGACGACCTGATGACCTGCTCCAATGCGCGCTGCGGCCGCACCGAGACGCTGTTCCACGCGTGCCTCTACTTCAAGTCCTGCCGCAGCTGCCACACCTACTACTGCTCGCGCCTGTGCCGCCGCGAGGACTGGGACGCGCACAAGGCGCGCTGCGTGTACGGCCGCGTGGGCAGCGTGTGCCGCCACGTGCTGCAGTTCTGCCGCGACAGCGGCCCGGTGCACCGCGCCTTCTCGCGCATCGCGCGCGTGGGCTTCCTGTCGCGCGGCCGCGGCGTGCTCTTCCTGGGCTTCCCGAGCCCCGGCTCCGCCGACAACTTCCTGCGCTTCGGCCTCGAGGGGCTGCTGCTGTCGCCCACCTACCTGTCCCTGCGGGAGCTGGCCACGCACGCCGCGCCGCTGGGCGGCTACGCGCGCGAGCTGGCGGCCGCCGGGCGCCTGTACGAGCCGGCCGAGTGCTTCCTGCTCAGCGTGTCCGTGGCCGTGGGCCCCGGCGCCACCGCGCCCGGCGGCGCCCCCGCCAGGCCCGCGCCCGCGCCGCGGAGCCCCGGGCCCACGGTGCGCAAGTTCGCCAAGGTGGCGCTGGCGGCCGGCAGCCCCGCGCGGCCCGCCCCGGCGCGGGGGCCGGACCCCGACATGGAGACGCTGATCCTGACGCCGCCGCCCGGCACGGCGGGCCTGGACCAGGAGGGCGAGGCGGGCCGGCGCGCGCGCGAGGTGGCCTTCATCCACATCCAGCGCGAGCTGCGCCTGCGCGGCGTCTTCCTGCGCCACGAGTTCCCGCACGTCTACGAGCAGCTCTGCGAGTTCGTGGAGGACAACCGGCGCTTCACGCCCACCACCATCTACCCCACGGACCGGCGCACCGGCCGCCCCTTCATGTGCATGATCATGGCCGCCTCGGAGCCGCGCGCTCTGGACTGGGTGGCCAGCGCCAACCTGCTGGACGACATCATGTGAGGCCGGGCGCCTGGGCCCTGGACAGCCATACAGGCCCGCCCCTCCCGCCTCTGACCCCGCCCACTCACTGAGGCCCGCCCCGCCCACCCAGGACCACCTCTGTTCATTCACACCCGCTCCTGCTTCGAAGCCCCCGCCTTGTTCACCTGGAGCTCCGACAGGGACCTCCTATTGCGTCCTCTGCAAGCCCGCCTTCCCCACCTCCCTCCTGCGACCCCCGCCCCCAGTCCCGTTCGGCTCCCCCCTTCTCCAGCTCCCCCTCTCCAGCTCCCCCTCTCCGGCTCCCCCTCTCCAGCTCCTCCTCTCCGCTCCCCCCTCTCCAGCCCCCCCCTCAGGCTTCCCCCTCCGGCTCCCCATCTCCGCTCCCCTTCTCCAGCTCCCCCTCTCCAGCTCCCCCTCTCCAGCTCCCCATCTCCGCTCCCCCTCTCCAGCTCCTCCTCTCCGCTCCCCCCTCTCCAGCCCCCCCCTCAGGCTTCCCCCTCCGGCTCCCCATCTCCGCTCCCCGTCTCCAGCTCCCCCTCTCCAGCTCCCCCTCTCCAGCTCCCCATCTCCGCTCCCCCCTCTCCAGCTCCTCCTCTCCGGCTCCCCCTCTCCAGCTCCTCCCCTCCGCTCCCCCCTCTCCAGCCCCCCCCTCAGGCTTCCCCCTCCGGCTCCCCATCTCCGCTCCCCCTCTCCAGCTCCCCCTCTCCAGCTCCCCCTCTCCAGCTCCCCATCTCCGCTCCCCCTCTCCAGCTCCTCCTCTCCGCTCCCCCCTCTCCAGCTCCCCCCTCTCCGGCTCCCTCCTCTCCGGCTCCCCCCTTCAGGCTCCCCGTCTCCGGCTCCCGAGCGGGCCTCCCCAGGGCCGGTCCTTGGCCGCTTGGTGCTCCCCGCTGGGAGGCGGGGTGGGCTCTAGGACCGCCCGGCCCTGCCTTCAAGCGGAGGAGTCCCTGCCGCAGACCCCACCCCGCAGATCCCGCCTGAGGGCCGGTCATCCGCAGGGCCTCCCTGGAACCTCCCCAGGCCTCGTTGGCCCGGGTCCTGGAGACGGAGTAGACCAAAGCCTGGTCCCGCCCCATTTAACACGCCCCCACCCGCCTCCTGCGGTCTGCGGTGCGCCCTGAGTCCCGGTGGAGGGGCGCAGCCAGCCACCCTCACCCCCAGCCCGCACTTTCTTTCGCCCCCAGCGCTACCCGCCTCCTCCCGCACACAGGCTGCCCTGGCGGGCCCTGCAGGAGGGGCTGGCGGGCGGCAGGTGAAGGTGCGGGGAGGTCTCCCGTCCAGGTGCCAGACACCCAGCCGGAGGGGAGGAGGGCCGGCAGGGAGAGCAGAGGGTGTGAGACAGGGGGCAAGGGGGGCGCTGGCCCGGAGCTGAGACCTGCTGGGCATGAGTCAGGCCGCCGCCGCACCGGCCGGATGGCCCACGGCGGGGGCCGGGGCAGAGCAGGCGCTCACCTCCCTGGAGGCAGGAAACAGGTGCGGAGGGCGGAGCGGAAGGGCTCCCCCGCGGGCGCAGGAGCCTGGAGCACCGGCCTCCCGGCTGGCAGCGGGGCGGAGGAGCCTGGGCGAGGGGAGCTGAGGTCAGGGCAGGGTCCGCGGGGGTGGAGACGTCACGCACACCCACCGGCTTCCCGCGTGGCCGTGTCTCGTGTTGCAGCTGCAAACGGGAGGCTAGCAGCCCGGCCTCCGGTCCCCCCAGGACTGCATCCCGGCTCCGGCCCTGGCTCCATGGACCACACGTGACCCGGAGAGGGGGGCCGGGCACCCGCAGGGGCCCTCCCGGAGCTCCCCATGGGCTGCGAGGGGAGTCGATAAAATTGGGAACGTCCGCCCGCTCCCGCCCCGACCGCGCCCCCTGCCTCCTTCCCCCACGGCCTGCGCGCCCCTCGGCCCCGCGCTTGTCCACCGGCCACACGCCCCCCACATCGGACCTCCGTGCAGCCCGCTCCCAGGGAGAACCTGGGGCCGGGACTGTTTCCAGGGGCGAGCGCTTTCCGAAGTAAAACCACTCGAATGCAACCACTGCGGCCTCGTTCTGCGGGGGCGGGGGCGGCCGGGGCGGGCCGGGCGGCCGGAGGCTGTCAGAGCCGGGGTGCGTCCCTCGGGCCTAAGGGCCGCCCAAACCCCTCCAGAGGTGCCTGGCACCAGCCCGTGGCCCGCTGGACAGGAAGTTGTCCGCCCCTGGGGGATTTTAATTAATATTCGTATTGATTTCAGAGAGGAAGGGGGAGGTACAGATAGACATCCGTGATAAGCCAGAATCAGAGATCGGCTGCCTCCTGCATCCCCGGAACCGGAACCGGGGATGGAGCCCGCAGCCCAGGCCTGTGCCCTGGCCAGGAATGGCACCGTGACCCTCTGGCTCCTAGTCCACGCTCAACCCCTGAGCCACGCCCGCCCCGGGGCCCACCGCTGGTTTCAACCGCCACCCACCCGGGTGCCTCCTTCCCCTTTAAGAGGGACCCCCGTGGCCCCAGGGCTGCAAGGAGCTGGCTTGCGATTGGCCAGTCGGTGCTGCGGCCGGGCCCCACGATTGGCTGAGGCTAAGGGTCGGGCTGCACACCCCGCGGGATTGGCCGCGGCCGCTCAGAGCCCGCCTCCCGCGCTGCGACGCAGCCCCGCGTGGCGCAGGGGTAGGGCGCGGGCCGCAGGGGCGGGCGCGTTCGCGGGAACATGGCGGCGCCGGACCTCGACCAGATCCCCGATGTGGACATCGATCCCGACGGCGTCTTCAAGTACGTGCTGATCCGCGTCCACGCGGCGCCGGCGGGGCAGAGCAAGGAGATCGTGCGCGGCTACAAGTGGGCCGAGTACCACGGTGAGGGCGGGCGGGGCCGCGGCGCTGCGGGCGGGGCCAAGGGCCAGGTGGGCGGGGCCAAGGGCGTCCGGGGCGGGGGTCCCGCGCGGGTCTGGGGTCCTAGGGCCCGAGGGCTGCGGGGGCCCGACCCCTCTCTCCTCTTCCCGGCGCCCCGCCCAGCCTGGGGGGCCCCTCCGGGAGGGCAGCTGCTCCGCTGGGGCTCAGGCCCCGGGTCCCCGGGCGCCAGGCTGAGGGCTGCCCCCCGCCCCCCAGCTGACATCTTCGACAAGGTGTCGGGCGAGATGCAGCAGAAAGGCTATGGCTGTGAGTGCCTGGGCGGCGGGCGGATCTCCCACCAGAGCCAGGACAAGAAGATCCACGTGTACGGCCACTCCGTGGTGAGCCCCGCGTCCCCTGCGCGCCGCCCCGCACCCCCTGCGCCCGCCCCGCACCCCCTGCGACCCTCCCCGAACCCCCTACGGCCCGCCCCGCACCCCCTACGGCCCGCCCCGCACCCCCTGGGCGCTGCCCGCACCCCCTGCACCCGCCCCGCACCCCCTGCGACCCTCCCCGAACCCCCTACGGCCCACCCCGGACCCCCTACGGCCCGCCCCGCACCCCCTACGGCCCACCCCGCACCCCCTGGGCGCCGCCCGCACCCCCTGCGCCCGCCCCGCTCCCCCTGCGCACCACTGCGGAGCTCCCTGGAGTCCCCAGCGTCCCCGCTTCCCACGGGACCTAGGGTGGGTGGGAGGCCACTGCTGCCCCTCAACACAGCGGGCTTGTTCCAGCCCCAAGAGATCTATTTGGCCCCGGCCCGCGTGGTTCAGTGGTTGAGCATCGACCTAGGAACCAGGTCACCGTTCGATTCCCAGTCCCCAGAGAGGGGTGTGCAGGAAGCAGCCCGTCAATGATTCTGTCTCATCATTGGTGTTTCTGTCTCCCTCTCCCTTCCTTTCTGAAATCAATAAATATATATACTTTCATATAAAGAGGCCTGGCTGGGCTGTCCCTGAGGCCTCAGTATCGGGGTGTCACCCAGAGGCCAGCAGGGCATTCTCTTGGCGCCTAGAATAGCCTGGGCTTCAGCGAGAGATCTGTTCACCGTGGTGGCCACCTTCCCGCCAACGGGCTCCTTGGGTGGTTGGGAATGATGGCCCTCGGCTCCACCCTGGGGCCCGGCCCTGCACTGGCTCCGGGGTGTCACTGCTCACTGGACCCCCGGAGCCAGGACCCCGGCTGTGAGGCGCCTTCTTTCGTCAGGGGTTCGGCCGTGCCCAGCACTCCATCTCCACCGAGAAGATCAAAGCCAGGTACCCGGACTACGACGTTACCTGGTCAGACGACGGCTACTGAGCCCACCTGAGCCCCGCCCCCCCCCCAACTCTGCCCTGGAAGCCCTCTGAGGGCTGGGCTGCCCCTGGCGTGTGCCCCTGCCCAGGCCTCGGAGACGGACGCCAGCCTGGCCCCAGGACCGGGTTACCTCACCATGGGAATAAAAAGCACTGACCCAGCCGGCCGGGAAGCTCTGTGCCTCGACTTCTCCGCTGCTCTGGGCCCTGTGACCCTGTCTGGAGTGGGCGGTGGCAGTGGCTCCCTCTTGGCCCAGGGAGTGGCAGTGCACACTCAGCTCTTTGGAGCCCCCCCCCCTCCCCCTTTATGGCCTAATTGCTCCCCCTCGTGGCTGCCCCCAAGGACATCGGGGGCGAGGCCCCCAGCCGTTGCGAAAGGAGCTGGGCCTGGATTGGGAGTGCCCGAGCCAGCACACGGCAGATCTCAGTCCTGTGTCCGGCCAACCCAGGTCACGCGTGAGAGTGCGTGTGACTCCCTGCCCCCAGCCCCGGCCCTAGCTGAGGTGAACAGGCAGAGTGCCTGACATGGCACTGGGAGCCCCTCTCCTCTCCCCAGGGCAGGGCTGTGGGGGCCACCAGGCACAGGGAGGGCAGCGCCAGGCCCCTGAGGCACAGCTGCCCTGGGCTCGCTGAGGTGGCCTGCCCTGGGGCTGCGACCCTTGGGCGCGCTTTCTGTGAGCTCAGGCAGGTGCGGTGCCACCACCTGTGTGGGCGAGGCAGGCGGTTCTGAGGTCAGATTGTCTTGCAGGCTGAGCCCGGCTCCCAGCCCCGTGCTGGTGAGGGGTCAGAGGGCACCAGGCCCCCAGGTGCCGCCGCGCTGCTCAGCACAGCTGTCCATAAATAAATGGTTAGCGCCCGGCCAGCGGGGCTCCGGCTGAGCGCCAGCCTGTGAGGCAGGAGGTCACGGTTCCGTTCCTGGTTGGGGCACATGCCAGGTCGCAGGCTCCATCCTCGGGGACGTGCAAGCGGCTCTCATCACGGATGGCTCTGTCCCCTGCTCCCTTCTTCTCCGAGATCAATAAAACATGAAAATAAGTGGTTACTTAGGAGTGAGTGAGGAACAGCCCCGCGGCTGCCTGATGGCGCTGGAGATGGTCGAGGTCCGCGGCCCCCGGCCCCCGGCCCTCCTCCCAGGGGTCACAGGTGTTGGTGCCGGGCCAGGGCGGGGGCGGGGGCGGAGCCGGAGGAGGTCGCAGCCCGAGCTGCCCGGAGCCACTCTGCGGGGCCTCACCAGGCAGGGCTGAGCGGCGTGCGTGTGCCGGGCAGGGCCAGACCTCCGTCCGGAGCTGCTGGACAAGGCGGGGCTGACGCGCCCAGGGGCCCCTCCTGCACCGTTTACGACCGGACGTTTGCCCTCGGGCGGGAGAGGCAGGCCGGGGGCCCCTCCATTAGAGCGGAGTCAGCAGTGGGGCCGAGGGGATAACTGAGCACACGGCCCCCAGTCCGTTTTCCTCCGTCGGCCATGCCGCCGCCCAGCCGCCTCCTTCCTGCCCTGGTCCTGGTCCTGGTCCTGGGTGAGTCCTGGGCTCCGCTCCTGAAGCAGAGCTGGCTGGGGCCTTGGGAGCCAGGCCCTGGGTGGGACCCAGAGGGAGCCCGTGGGCCCTCGGATTGCCTGCTGGGCAGGGGCAAGCCTCGTGCTCCCCCAGGCCCTGGCAGCGCACCCCTGCTCCTGGAACCTGAGGCGGGCTGGCTCACCTTGGGGGGTACCCTCCGTCCCGGGCTTCCGCTTCCCTCCCAGGGGCTGTTTCACATGGGGGCCCTGGTCCCCAGCAGCCAGCCTCAGGCCAGCTGTGCTCAGCTCGGCCGTGGCGGGGAGCCCCCAGCCGCAGACCCAGCCCATCTGACCTCCTGGCCCGGAACCCAGAGCTGGGCTGGCCAGTCTGAGGGTCCGGGGACCTGGGACCATCCCAGGCGTGCAGGATGGGGGCACCTGCTAGCCCCCTGCCTGTCTGCTGGCAGCAGGGTCCCCCTGCGGGGCCTGGGTCCCCAACCACTGCAGGGCCCCCCAGCACACCCTGTGCAACTTCGTGTGCGACTGCAGGGACTGCTCCGATGAAACGCAGTGTGGTGAGCAGGCCGGCGGGTGGGCGGGCGGCGGGGCAGGGCCGGCCAGCCCCGAGGGCCACTCCCCTGACCCCCACCCCTGCTGTCCCAGGTTACAAGGGGGCCTCACCCGCCCCTAGCGCCCCCTTCGCCTGCAGCTTTGAGCAGGACGCCTGTGGCTGGCGGGACATCAGCACCTCAGGCGACCGCTGGCTCCGGGACCGGGCGGGGGCCGCGCTGGGGGGCCCCGGGCCTCGCGCAGACCACACTCTGGGCACGGACCTGGGTGAGCCCCCGCGGTGGTGCCCAGGCCCCCCTCCTTGGTGCCCGCCCGTCTCCGAACCTCTCTGCTGTCCAGGCTGGTACGTGGCTGTGGGCACGCATCGCGGGAAAGAGCCGTCGGTGGCAGCCCTGCGCTCCCCCGTCCTGCGGGAGGCGGCCCCCGCCTGCGAGCTGCGGCTCTGGTACCAGGTGGCCTCCGCAGGTGTGTGCCAGCCCCCGGCGGGCGGGGTGCCCAGCGGGGGGAGGGGACACAGCTGCTGCTGCAGGACATGGAAGGGTGGCCGGCCCCCGAGGCTGGGGTTGAGCATCCACCTATGAACCAGGAGGTCGCAGTTGGGTTAGGTCGGGGCACAGGCCCAGGTTGCAGGCTCGAACCCCAGTGCGGGGCGTGCAGGAGGCGCTGGTCACTGAATCTGTCTGCCGCTCCCTTCCTCTCTAAAGTCCGTAGAAAACATACTTAAAAAAGATAAGGAAGAAGATGGAAGGGCCGCCCAGGGCGGGCAGGAGGCCAGGCAGGGCACGCCCGCAGGCGGGAGGCCCGGGCTCAGCTGCCTGTGCCCCTGACAGACGTGGCTGAGCTGCGGCTGGAGCTGACGCGGGGCACCGAGACGCTGGCCTGTGGCGGGGCTCCGGGGCCCGGGGCGCGGGCTGGCGGGAGCTGGCGGTGGCCCCCGGCCGCGTCCGGGGCGACTTCTGGGTGAGCTGGGCCGCGGGGATGGTGGGGCAGCAGTCTGAGCCCTGACTGAGGCCTAAGGATCCCGCTCCTCAGGTGACCTTCTCTGCCACCCGCAACGCCACCCACAGGGGGGCCGTGGCCGTGGACGACGTGACCTTCTGGGGCTGTGGGCTGCCCCGTAAGTGCCCAGCTGGGCCCCTCCCCCAGCTGCCCTGCCCAGTGTTTGGGGTCCGGCGATGGTTATCCGTCCCCACCCCAGCCCCCCAGGCCAGCTGCCCGCTGGGGCATCACCGCTGCCAGAACCGGGCCTGCGTGGAGCCCCACCAGGTGTGCGACGGGGAGGACGACTGCGGGGACGGCTCAGACGAGGACACGCCCCGATGCCGTGAGCGGGGCTCCCGCTCTGAGGGCGGGGGCGGGGGGAACGAACCCCCGCTCTGAGGGGGCGGGGGGGGGGGGGGGGGGGAACGAACCCCCGCTCTGAGGGTGCGGGGCGGGGGGGGGGCACGAACCCCCGCTCTGAGGGGGCGGGGCGGGGGGCGGGGGAACGAACCCCCGCTCTGAGGGGGCGGGGGGCGGGGGGGGGGGGGAACGAACCCCCGCTCTGAGGGTGCGGGGCGGGGGGGGGAACGAACCCCCGCTCTGAGGGTGCGGGGCGGGGGGAACGAACCCCCGCTCTGAGGGTGCGGGGCGGGGGGCGGGGCGGGAACGAACCCCCCGCTCTGAGGGGGCGGGGGGGGGCGGGGGGGGGGGGGGAACGAACCCCCGCTCTGAGGGGGCGGGGCGGGGGGGGGGAACGAACCCCCGCTCTGAGGGGGCGGGGGGGGGCGGGGGGAACGAACCCCCGCTCTGAGGGGGCGGGGGGAACGAACCCCCGCTCTGAGGGGGCGGGGCGGGGGGCGGGGGGAACGAACCCTGCTCGGCCCCGGGGTGGGGGGTGGGGGGTGGGGGGTGGGGGGAGCCGCTGCACCACGGGGAGGCCCGGGCTCTGGGCCCTGCTCAGGCCTGAGCCCTTCGCCCCAGGCGGCCACCTACCCACCGACTTGGAGACGGGCCTGGGCCTGTGGCACCGCGCGGAGGGCTGGACCCGGAACCACAGCGCCAGGGTCCCCGAGCGCCCGGCCTGGCCGCGCCGAGACCACAGCCGCAACAGCCCACAGGGTGAGGCCCCAGAAGCCGGGCCCGCCCGGCCGACCCGGGCCGCACACACCCGCCTCCCCGCCGCCCACCCGCTCTCCCCCCAGGCCATTTCCTGGTGTCCGTGGCCGAGCCCCGCGCCCCTGCGATCCTCTACGGCCCCGAGCTCCAGGCCTCAGGCCCCCACAACTGCTCGGTGGGTGCGGCGGGCGGGACGGGCTGCCCGACCGGCTGGGGCTGGGGGGCTCCCTGACCGGCCTGTCCCCTCCAGCTCGTCCTCTACCTCCACCTGCACGGGTCCCCGGCCGGCCGCCTCCGGCTGTACCTGCAGGCTCAGGGCCCCCAGGCCCCCCGGGACCCCGTCCTGCTGCGCCGCCGCCACGGGGAGCTGGGGGACGCCTGGGTCCGAGACCGAGTGGACATCCAGAGCGAGCACCGCTTCCGGGTGAGGAGGGAGCGGGGCAGCGGGCGGGCGGCCCCGGGCAGAGTGTGTGCGGCTGCAGGAGGGAAGCCGTGGGGGGCTTTGGGGACACGGACGTGTGTGGGACAGTGGGGAGAGGCTCGGGAGCAGCCCAGGCAGCACACGGACCGGCCGCCCCGAGCCTGCTGTGCCCGCAGGTCCTCCTGGCCGGGCAGACGGGCCCGGACGACCTCATCCTCTCTGAGGGCTGCACACCAGCCCCGGGTGAGCTGCTGAGTCCCCCCCCGACCCCCCGCCCAGCAGGCAGGCACCGCCCCGGCCCTGACCCTTCCTGTGCTACCCACAGAGGCACCCCGCTTGCCCTCCGGGCCCTGGCCCCTGGCCCCCAGGCCCTGGCCCGTTGGTCTGCAGCCCCAG